TCTGATGATGGGATTAATTCTTGATCGATAAAGTTTACATCTTCTCAACACTTTACTGAGGTCACATGACACAGACGACATTAAACCACAGAGAACTTTCACAAACTGTGCGTTCAGGATTCAAGTCAACTGGAGCAGCAACAGGATGAAGGCTTTGCTTTCAGGTTTTCAACATTTAGCAGGAATCAGTTCATCCATCAGGAGGTCCAGCATCACGTCCCTCAGTCACTCCTGAGTCTGACCCCCGACATGCACCAATGGGTTCAGACGTGGTGGCGCTCTGTCCACCAGCTGGTTGATGGGTCAGTGGGCCGGACATCCCACTCTGCAGTCACATCCTGGAGTCAGACCTGGTTCCACCTGGTACCTGGGACTCAGGATGTCATCACTGGTCACAGCGATTACTGATGCGTCAAAATGAAAAGAGGAACGTGTCTGAAAACTACAATCATTACAACTTTAAGGGCGACGCTGTGGATCAGAGCAGAGACCAAAGCTCATGGCTGCTATGAGGGAAAACTCTGACAAACATCAGGCAGAGAAAGATTCATCAAACAGGGACACACAGAGGAGAGAGAAGGAGAAAGAAGGAGAGAGAAGGAGAAAGAAGGAGAAAGAAGGAGAGAGAAGGAGAAAGAAGGAGAAAGAAGGAGAGAGAAGGAGAAAGAAGGAGAGAGAAGGAGAAAGAGTGAAAAAATAGACCAAAAAAAAGAGAGAATAAAACTAAAGGAGGCCAAAAATGTCCTGAAAGAGAAAAAGGTGACGACAGAGCGACAAACACGAAGAAAAGAAGGAAGAATGATTAAAAACCAAGAAACGACAACAAAAGATAAAAAAGACCAACAAAAACAGAAAAGGCCCAAAAAGCAGCAAATGCTCTGAAACACTGGATCATGATTTCAATCAGACGGGATCGGTTCGGTTTCCTGCAGGACTTTCCCAGCTCAGCTGCACCTCTTTTAACTCACTTTCCATTTCCAGACCACACAGCAGGAAGAGGCCATATAAGGGCGTGGAGGGCCGGCTGGCTGGGCGGGGCCTGCCTGACGTCAGGCCGGTGGGCGGGGCCTCCTGCTATAAAGCCAGTGAGCAGCCGCTGCCTCTGATCTGACACAATGTCGCTGCAGCCCGTCTGGAACGTCCTGCTGGGACACGCCTCCCTGCTGAGCTCGCCGTTCTTCCCTGTGCTCTTCTCGCTGAGCGTCTACCTGAGCTGCTGCCTGCCCTACCTGCTGCTGGACCTTCTGGCCTCCAGGTGCGCTCTGGTGCGCAGGTACAAGCTGCAGCCGGCCTCCGTGGGCTCGGCCTCGCCGGGCCTCTGCCTGGCTCTGACGCTCTACAACCACCTGCTCTTCATCTTCCCGCTCAGCGTGATGCACTGGTACCTGCGGCCGGTACACCTGCCCGAACAGGCCCCGCCCCTGCCCCGCCTCCTGGCTCAGGTGTTGGTCTGCCTGCTGCTCTTTGACTTCCAGAGCTTCATCTGGCACCTGCTGCACCACCGAGTGCCCTGGCTCTACCGCACCTTCCACAAGGTGAGTACACCTGGAGGAGGAAGAGGAGGG